ACATAATAAAAAATGCAAAAGCAAAAAATATTTTAAAAATAAATTATGTAGATAATTTTTTTTCTTCATCCGTTTCCAAAAACTCATCCCAGTTCGAGAGGCGTTGTTGAACTTCTGTCTCCGATTCATTAATTCTGTAAAAACAAAAATTATTTATAAAAAATTTGTTGAAATATGTTAACTTACTTGTATTTAGTTTTTCCATCCCAGTAATCTGCACTTAATTGCCTTTTTCCAAAAAATCGTCCATTCATCATTTGTATAACCAAATCAGCTTCTTCCGGTGTGGACATATTTACCTGAGCTACACCCTCAGAATGACGCTGTAATAATAAAATGCGTAATATTGTTATAAGAAATTAGTATTATAATAACAGATATTATTAAAAATTTATTTATATGTTTAAAATAAATTATTTTAAGTTTAAAATTAGTATTATATAAAATCTTAAATCTATGCTATCCTTAGCCTAATACTTACATCGTAAATAATAACTTTCCGCACGGTACCACATTTATTGCATTCTTCGCGTAAATCATTTGTGTACTCCAGAATTAGTTGAACTTCTTCTTCGAAAATTTTTGGCGCGAAAAGATTTTTAATAATAACCACTTTTTCATTCTTTGTACGCTCCCCTCGTAACTTCTCTGGTCTCCAGTCAAAAAGTCTAAATATCAAAAAAAAAGTTTTGAGATAGTATACAAATTAAATTTTTCATTCAAAACAAATACAAACTTACTTTTCCTTCATTTTTAATAGCTTTTCTTTATCTTTCTTCTTTTTTTTCGGTTTTAAAGCTGGATTATATTCTCCGCGCATTTGAAATTCAGCACGCTGAACACGTATTTTATTACCACGCAGATTATACTCATCCAGTATATTTAAAGCCAAGTTCACGGACTCAATCTGAAAAAAATAGGATTATTAAAATGAACTTTAATAAGTACTAAGAAACCTAATTATATAGTTAGGTATAGTTGTCGATACCATTACTGCCTACAACAAGCATTTAGTTGTAGGAAGTGTTTCTGGAAATTTGAATAATATTCGTGCGATATTCAACCAGTTCGACTATATACTATAAGACATAGACATACTAGCATACATAGACATAATAGAAACAAAAACAAAAGCCTTTCTCTAATTCTTAATTTTTCTTGTATTTTCAGAATAAATCGCCGGGTTAAGGCTGAGGGTAGTAACGAGGAGATCGTTATACCCAGCATACGTGCCCGTCGTCCTGGTAATACAAGAGGACGTGGACGTAGACCCCGACCACATTCCACTAATTCACCCAGTCAAAACGACGTTAACCACCAGCAAACAACTCTTCATCCAAATGATATAAACTATCAACCTGTAGCAGTTAGAATGACGACAACTACACCAGTAACACCGCTTAATGTCTACAATGAAATTTTACCGCCGGTACTCGTAACCGTGTCACCACAAACTCAGCGTAGGCAACAACATCAACGCACTCATTACGATCGTAAATTACAAAGACAACGTGAGAAAGAAAAACGTCGCATGCAGAAAAAACGTGAGCGGCAGGAAAAGATGAGACGTGAAAAACAACAACGTCTTAAAGAACAACGTCGTTTAAGAGAGGAACATCGCCAACAACACAACAACGAGCAAATGAATCATCAATCTGACGTACCTGGTCAATTAAGGCAGCATGAAGAAGAACTTGAGAGAAGACGTTTGCAACAACAGGAAAATGAAGAAAGAGCACAATTGTTAAAGAAAGAACAGGAACAACGCGAACATTTACGACAACAAGAAGAAAAGGCACAAGAGCAGGAACAACGCAAGCGTTTGCAAGAACAGGAACATGAAGAAAGAGCACGTCTACAAAAGCAAGAAAAGGAGCAACGTGAGCGTTCGCAACAACAAGAACAGGAAGAAAGAGCGCGTATAGAGGAACACCAAAGAGAACTTGAAGCACTTAAACAATTATATGCTGAAGAAGAGAAGCAACGAGTTCAGGACGAAGAGGATCAACGTTTGGCCAATGAGCAAAAACAAAAAGAACGTGAAAGAATTGCTAAAGAATTACAAGAACGCGAAGAAACAAAACGTAAAATCGAAGAACAACGTGCAGCAGAAGCACGCAAACATGAAGAAGAGCGCTTAGAAGAGGAAAAACGTTTAAAAGAAGAATATGAAAAACGTATACAAGATGCACAAAATGAATTAGAGCGACGTCAACATGAGGAAGAAGAAAGAAAACGTTTACAGGATGAAGAAAATAGACGTCGTACAGAATTGGAAGAAAAAGCTAGACAAGAACAAATTAAACGTGAACTAGAAGAGGAAGAAAAACGTACAGAACTGCAACGTTTAGAAGAAACGAAACGTTTTGAACAACAAGAATTACAACGTTTATATGAAGAAAATCGCAAACGTGAAGAAGCACAACGAAAACGGCAAGAGGAAATTGCACGCCGAGAAGCTGAACAAAAACAAATCGAAGCCGAGGAGGAACGCTTACGACAAGAATTGGAAGAAGCTGAAAAAGCGCGTAAACGACAACACGAAGATGAAATACGACGTGAAAATGAAGCTGCCAAAGCAGAAGAAGAGTCAAAGAAACGTCAGGAAGAAGAACAAAATCGACAACGTCTAGAACGTTTGAATGAATTGAAACGGGAAGAAGATGAGTGTGTGCGTAAAGCCGAAGAAGAAAAGAAACGTAAATATGCTGAACGAATCGCACGACTCTCACCAGAAATGCAAAAGGCATTCTTCGAACAACGTAAACGACGAAAGCAACAAAAACAATTACAAGCACTAAGTAATAATGAAGCTAATAATTAAGAACAAAATTACATATTCTAGAATATGAAAAATCGAAACAAGAGAAGAGAGCAAAGAACAAAGTAAAGTAAAGAAAAAAGTAAGAAAGAACTCATTTATTAAGTTGATTTAAACAAAAACTGAAGTAAAGAATTTTAAATTAGCATTGAAATAGCAGTAAATATATAGTGCATGAATAAAAACTAAATTAATTTATTAAAATTAATTTTATTAATATTTTTTTTTTAATTTTTTACTATGAAAAAATAAAATAAATTTATGTTTAAGTTAAAGATTCACGTTGCTCTCTTCTTTTAGTATTTTTAAAGAAAATTAATGAAATGAATGTTTCTCCTAAATTTTTCAATTTTTGAATTATTAAAATTAAAAATACTTTTAATTTTTAATTAATTTAATATTAATTTTTAAATAAATACTTTAAAAACTTGTCACTGCACATAATAAGAAAACAAATTTAAACAATATATTATATATAATATGTTTTTAATATATGTATAACATTTTTAGTTAAATATGATCATATTAAGCTTTATCATTTTAATTTAAAAAAAATATTTTTAATATTTTATATGTAATAAGGAACGAGTATACTCTCATGGCAGTGAGTTGAAAATTGTTTAGTAAATTTAACAATTTTTTAACACATTTAAATGTTATTGCACAAGTATTTAAGTAAAAAGCAATATTTGACTATATTTATATGTTAAGTGTATAAATATATAACAGTTTGTAAGCACACACCTTGAAGCGAGTTAAACGAGCAATTTATATATATATCAATTTTTAAGTTTTTGTTTAATTTTATTTTTGTTAAAAAAAACATTTTTTTATAACTAAGCATTTTATTGTAAATAAAATTAATTTTTTTTAAAACAATATCAACACTTAAAATATGTTTCCTTAAGTCGCCAAAAAAAAATTAAACAAATATTTGAGCAAGTAATACTAATAACTGAACACTGCTAATCAAAGCTTATAATAAGTTTTTCATATTATCGTTTGTAATTATTTTTATAGTTTTTTAAAAGATTATGTAATATATTATTTCTTAAATAAAATGTGGTAAAAAAGATTTACCATAGCAACACAGCAACTTGAAGAATTTGAGGGGAGAAAAGTCGGTTCAAAAATAGCACTTATAGACGTCTATGTAGTGCTTCTTTGCACTCTTCTTCCATGCAAATAATTAATCGCAAAAGCACATTAAGTAACTTAAATAATATTTAAAGCAAAAATAGTTTAGCAAACTAGTGATAATGTAAAAAATTTTTAACATTTATCTTTTTTATAATATATTTACATAAATAATTAATATTAAACACTTAACATTTAGCTTTTATTAACTATTAGTAACTCTTATCGTATTTTAACGTAATAAATTAATTACTAAAGCATCTTGAAATTAATTTATTTAAAATTTTTTTATATTAAACAATAACTATTACAAAAGCAATATAAATCTAAACTTAAGCTTGTTTTAAGTTTAGTACTTAGTTTATAGCGTTTTCCAATAAAGAACGAAAATAATTTATAATTGATTTAGTTTTTGATTACCTCAAGTATAAGTTGATGTCTTAATTAAAATATTATTTTTACTGTTAATTAATTTAGGATTTTCAAAGCAATTCAATACTAGAAAAATAATAATATTTTTAAGCAATCAATTAGCTAACCAAGCATATATAAAACAAACAAATATATATATAAATATACACCGGAATAAAAATAAATGCTCGTACTTATGCGGGAATATCTTGTAATTGTCAAACGAAACTCAAAACAGAAATATTTAAAATTAAGTCAGCAATTGTATTAACATAAAATCACACGTTTTGCGAAAGAAATAAATAAATTAAAAAACAAATTATTATTATTGTGTTTTAATTATTAATTATTATGTAAAGGCTACCGCTCTCAACGCCTTGACTGGATTATTGTTTATCACTTCATCAGACTAACCAATAATTGACCTCAGATCTACATATCTCCCCGAGGAGCCTGTTACCATTCTGAGATTCGATAACGCGGTGTTGGTAAGCCTGTCAGTTTTCGTAAATAATTTCAGGGCTGTATCCTTTTTTTGATCGGATCAATCTTGAGGTCCCTGAGGATGTCATTTCTCCTTAAAATACAATAGTATCCTTAAAAAGTCTTCTCAGAGCCTGGCTTTATGCAATTTCTAGCTGGCGAATAGTAGTGTTTGAGGCTTTGCTAAACGCTACACATCCATATAGAAATGACGGTCGAATTATTTGGTTATATAACAAATCTCTTAGTATTGAGATTTTCACTTTTAAATAGTGGTTGAAGGTGGTGAAGAATTTTGGCACAGCTCCCAATTTATTACCATATATGTATATGTTTATTATTTTATGTACTTTATTACTATTTGTAAGACAAAGCTATTTATTCACAGCTTAAGACAGGAAGGTAGTTAAGCAATTGAACGAAATGCTCAACAATTTTGAGAGTAAATAAAAAAGAGCAAAAAAAGTTATATATAATCGACTAACAGACGGCTGAAACTATGTCGATATATTTCTTTTTTTTTTTAATTAAAATAAAAATATTCAATGTATGTAATTTCAAATTTAAATTAACTTTGAAATCGTTTAAAAAAAAACCGAGTCTGCGTTCCGGAGTTACGTAGACCACGTATTACGTATTGTTGTAACCAAATGCCCACCTAAAATTTGATATATAAAAGTATGACAAAAATCTGCACAATGGAGAAGAATGGATAGAGCAATATTGTGTAAGATACGAGTAAAAATGCAATTGAGACCAACATTTGGAAGAAATGTGTTTATGCGTGACATGTTATATCCTGAACTCAATTGGCCGAAGACATTTCTTGCTGCATAAGGAAAATGTTTTTCATTTCCAAATATATACAAGTTGTAGGCATATTGAGAACTTTGTTATTGAACCATCATAATCTTATAACTTGTCTCCGTAAAAAGAGCAGAAAGACATGAGTCGATATAAAGTGCGGAAAGCCCTCAATACGCCATGGTATAAAAGGCGGAAAGCTTGATTAAAGAGAGCAGAAAGCCTATACCGTGCCCTGATATAAAAGGAAAAAAACACACGAAGAGAGTCGAACAAACTAATGTTATCTCCATTACGGCACCGGTTGATGTATACAAAAAAGGGACCGATGTTTGCAGCGAAGAATGAGGGTTTTATACAATGTATACATTTTATTACACAGCAGATGGTTAACATGCGAGCTACTCGTCTTTTTAAACAACTAAATATCGTTCAAGAGAGACTCAAACAATAGATCGTTTTTAGGATTTCTATTAATTAATAAACTGTCTTTTCTGTCTGTCTTTTCAAACAGCTAAATTTCGCTCATTTTTCCCAAGAGTGACTCAAATAATAGATCGTTTTCAAGATTTCCATAAGACTTAGAACAACAATTCGTAAAAGCCCATTTATAAGTAAGTAAGTACCACATATCCTAGAATAGTATGATGAAGGGCATTTGAGAATGGTATATTTGCATTTTTGTTTGAAACATTTTAAAAAAAAACTTTAACCTCCTGTAGTATTTAGTAGCTTTTGTTGATATAGCTTTAGAAAAAACCAAGCAGTGTTGATTATCTTTCTGGAACGATACGGGTAGAGATGGAGTGTCTTTGGTTAACATTAAATAGTAAAATATGATAAAATTGTTAAATGGCACATTCCAAGAAGAAAATAACGCTTAATTACATTGTCTCAGCAGATTATAAAAAAAGTTTTTAACCATATATAATCAAATATATCCAACAATTATTAGAATTTTTCTACTGCTTTCAAAGGAATAGAACTGCAGTATCTTTCCTTATCATAAGATATGAAGATAAATTTTTGATTGAGTTTTCAAATCGAAACAAAAGTACAATTATTAGATTAATCTATTGATCTATCAATCTGATAATCAAGAATATCAAAGAGAAAATAATGTTCAAACTCATCCTCTCAGTAGTTTCTGAAGCATATATTCAGTTTTAATTCAAAATATTCAGGCTGTTTCTTTGGACTTTAATAATGTGCTGATTTCTTGTGCTTTAAAATCGTATAAAGTTGGACGATGTTGTTGTGGAGTCATATTTCCATGTATTATCCAATAGTACAAAAATGTTAGCAACGTCATGTAACCACGTTTAACAATTTTAGATTTTTAAGCTTCTTTT